CCTGCTTCTGAATAAAGAAAGAAAGAAAGAAAGAAAGGAGGCTTATGAAAGATGACACTCGCTGGTTTAATTTAAAAATAGAAAAGTGGTGAATCATACGTTCTCCGTGGGTTGGTTAATGACGGCGTAGAGTTACCTAAAATCTGCAGAAAGGCTCAGTTGTATCAGATCCCGGAATGCCATAATTTCCACGTGCAACTTTTATTATTTTCAGAAAGAGAATTTCTGCCCCTTCATACAAGGTTGCAAGCAAATTCCGGTATTGTTGTGCGGCACCTTATTCAAGATGCTTCACAATGAAGCAGTTGTGTATCTTTCAAAATAAAATAAAATAAACCAATTAACTGCTTGGAATGTCTAAGATTAAGAAAGGATCTTTTAAAATGTTGAGACGATGGGAAAAGTGCTGAGAAGAGCAATTAGGATGGTTAAAGGCCTGGAGATGAAAATATACGAAGAACGGTTGCAGGAACTGGGTTTGGCCAGTCTAGGGGAAAAAAAGGACTAGGGGGGACAGGATAGCAGTCTTCCAGTATTTGAGGGGTTGCCACAAAGAAGAGGAGGGGGTCAACCTATTCTCCAAATCACCTGAAGGCAGGACAAGAAACAATGGATGGAAACTAGTCGAGGAGAGAAGCAACCTGGAATTAAGGAGAAAGAGCCATCTGGGAGTGATGTGCGGACTCCGGAGCCTCCAGAGTCAGAGAGCAGAGAGGCAGATGAACAGGAGGAGCCTGTTCCTAGTGCACCCATGCACAGAGCTGCCGGTGCGAACTGGGGGAAATCCACCACTGTCCTGTTTCCTATAGCAGGAAAATGCTATACATATTTTTCTATAATTACATAAATGTGCTATAATCAAGGAGTGCCTTCGGTTTTTTTAAAGACTTCTCTAAGATTTATTTTGTTGCATCTTTGAGTTTCCCAAGCAACCTGTTGTTTCATGTCTGTGAATCCAAGCAGAGAAATTTATCCTTACGCTTCTTGACGTGAGAAGCTATGCGCTCGGCCTCTGAGAAATTAAACCGTCTTCTAGTCCACCCTGAAGCAGGAAACCCTAGACCCGTGATGGCGAACCTATGGCATGCGTGCCACAGGTGGCACACAGAGCCATATCGGTTGGCACGCAAGCGTTGCCCGACCTCAGCTGCAGCGCGTATGTGCACACCAGCCAGCTGATTTTTGGGCCTTCCAGGCCCACCAGAAGTCAAAACAGGCTATTTCCGGCCTCCGGAGGGCCTCTGGGTGTGGGGGTGGGGGTGGCAAAGGCCGTTGTCGCCCTCCCCAGCTCCTAGAAAGCCTCTGGAGCCTGGAGAGATTGAAAAATGGGCCTTCCGGTCCCACCGGAAGTCGGTAAACGGGCAGTTTCCGGCCTCCAGAGGGCCTCTGGGGGGGGGAGGCCGTTTTCACCCTCCCCAGGCTCCTAGAAAGCCTCTGGAGCATGGGAAGGGCAAAAAATGGGCCTACTGGGCCCATCGTGCCATCACGTGCCAAAAGTGGGGGGAGTGCGGAGGGCGGGTTGAATTATGGGTATGGCCACATACGCGCACGACACCCCCCCAGCGCTCTCACGCAATGGCAAATGGGTTAGCCATCAGTGCCGTAGACAATTTCAGACAAATGGCTGTCCAATCTCTTCTTAAAAACCTCCGATGATGGCGCATTTACAACTCCCAGAATAGTCTTCTTCTGGGGAAGCAATTTAGGACTAAGGAGAAATTTCCCAACAGTGAGAGCAATTAACCAATGGAACAGCTTGCCACCAGAAGTTGTGGGTGCTCCATCACTGGAGGCTTTTAAGAAGAGACTCGACAGCCATTTGTCTGAAACAACATAGGGTCTCCTGGAGTGTGTGTGGTGGCCTAAAGGGTGGAGCTCTCGCCTCACAATCAGGAAGTTTCGAGTTCGATCCTAGGTAGAGGCAGATATTTCTCTCTCTGGGCCCAATGAGAATACATCTGCTGGACAAAACTCCGCACTGGTGACAGGAAGGGCATCCGGCCAGGAAACACTCAGCTCTATTCAGTTGCCCAGACTGTACCCTGCAAGAAATTATGGGGTCATTAAAAGAGGATGATAAGCAGGAGGTTGGACTAGAAGATCTCCGGGGTCCCTTCTAACGCTCTTATTCTATGTTTTATGCCCTGAGAGCTGATGTCTACCAGCTAAGTAAGCAGAGGCTCTATAAAGAATTTAAGGTAATCTGGCTAAATAAAAAATAAGAAAGAAAGAAAGAAAGAAAGAATGAATAAAAATCTTTGGATTGCTTTTTCTTATTGCTTAGTTCCCAACCCGACTCCTCTTCCTCTCTTCTACACCTTCTATCTATTCTCTAAGCCACTGATTCAGTCCATGATTCAACTTCCTTCCTTCCCTTTTGAGTCACAAGTTATATTATATACTTAAATCTACCTTAAAAGGTTACATTTCCTACCTCAGAGAGGATGAATAGACAACCAGTCATTCTCTGAAAGCGTCTAGGGATTATTCCGGTCTAAAGAAGAAATGATTGTTTTTATTTCCACAAATTTATCCGCATGAAGTACGGGGCTCTGGATCACAGTAGGGGTATGTCTGATGATGGTGGTTGAAATTTGGGATCCTCTGCGGAGCTTAATCTTACCGTTTTGGATGAACAGAACAGAGTAACAGAGCTGGGAGGAAACTTGTAGGTCATCTAATCCAACCCCACGCCGAAGCAGGAAGACCTTACACCACAATTAGCAGACTTGTGTCATTTGATCCTTTTTTTAGATCTTCCTATCTCCAAAGATTGCTGCTTCTCTCTGCCTGTGGAGCTCCCGATTGTGGCTTTGTCAACAAAAAATACCGGGGTTTTAAACTGTCTGACCATCTTCCTGTAAAACGGTTACTTCTGGCTGTTGCTTTGGCTGTCAAAGTCACACTTGGGATTCTGGAGGCAATTAGACTGTTTGTAATCGTGATCAGTAGGGAACGCGGTGGCTCAGTGGCTGAGCTTGTCAATCGAAAGGTTGGCAGTTCAGCGGTTCGAATCCCCAGCGCTGCGTAATGGAGTGAGCTCCCGTTACTTGTCCCAGCTTCTGCCAACCTAGCAGTTCGAAAGCACGTGAAAAAACGCAAGTAGAAAAATAGGGACCACTTTTGGTGGGAAGGGAACAGCGTTCCGTGCGCCTTTGGCATTGAGTCATGCCAGCCACATGACCATGGAGACGTCTTCGGAGCCAGCGCTGGCTCTTCGGCTTTGAAACAGAGATGAGCACCGCCCCCTAGAGTCGGGAACGACTAGCGCACATGTGCGAGGGGAACTTTTCCTTTAATCGTGATCAAAGTAGAGTTGTTTTCCGTCCCAGCAATATTTTGGAATAATAATAAAAAAAACAGCCCAAAATCTGTACTTTGATCCCCATTACACAGAGTCTAATTGCTTCCAGAATCATGGAATTTTAGAATTAATTTCAACATCTTATTTCCATCTATCCGGACCCTTAATCTTTTTTTTTTTTTTTTACTTTCTCAAGTCGTCGTTTTAATGACCTGGTTGTTCTTTATTCCAAGAAAAAGAGAGATTCCGTTTGAAGTCCTTAAACTTTTATTTCAAACAGCTTCCACTACGGATCGAAGCAAACTCACCTGAAAAACGTCTCCATCCAAAGGTTACTAATGGCTGAAAAAGCAATTAACATGCCGTTTCCAAAAATGATGAAATAACAGAATAATAGAGTTGGGAAGGACCTTGGAGGTCTTCTAGTCCAACACCCTGGTTAGGCAGGAAACCCTACACCACTTCAGACAAATGGTTATCCAATCTCTTCTTAAAAACTTCCAGTGTTGGAGCATTCACAACTTCTGGAGGCAAGTTCTGTTCCACTGATTAATTGTTCTCAATGTTAGGAAATTTCTCCTTAAGTTCTAAGTTGCTTCTCTCCTTGATCAATTTCCACCCATTGATTAGGAAAGGAAGCTCGGGGTTTGTAAGGCGCTGGCCCCCGTTCGGTGAAAATGGCTTTCTCTTGAATCTCAGAGCTGTAAAATCTGGTGGAGACCCGTTGTCTTGCAATTCTCCCCCTGTGAGGAGCAGCTGTCTGGAGCACTTGTGGGCGATCTCCGGTCCTGTCCTTGTCTGGAGAAGAGTTACAAAGTGCTGGACTACTCATCAATTTTTCATTCCGCCACAACTGTCGGCTCTATTTTTGACGGACCGGTCTTCCGTTCGTCATGTCTTCCCTGGAAATCTAGCTGTGATGTTATTAATCTCTTAATTAATGGCGAGTGGCGTTTGTAAGACTTGTTTGCAGGTGTGCCACGTCGCCCACGTGCCAGCTGCAGGAATTCTTCCACATCTTATCTAGGCTTGATAAAAGGATGTAGGGATACTTTTAGTGGAGCAAGTTTATTATTATAACTAGCTGATAACCCAGCATTACCCGGGTATTTATTTATCCCAATCCTGTATTAAACAGGAAGAGCAACTTCAACCTGAGCCCTGATTTCGGTGAGAATTAAATTAGTTAAAAATGCTTTCCCTGTGCCCCCAGAAGCATCAAGTAAAATGATACCACCTTGTTGTTTTGCTAGCTGATCCATTATCATCTGGTATGCTTTTTTTCTGATCTTGATTTAGAAGTGGCTTCTTGTCCGCGATATATGCACTAAGCTGTTCTATATTTGTCCTCAAGAATAATCAAAGCCTTGTTGAAAATATCCAGACCAAACATAATTTCTAATGTTGGATTTCCCCCCTTACCAGCGGGAGCCCCCTTGTGAAGTACTGTGAAGCCGTTACCATGGCAACTCCACTGTGCTGCACAGTAGAAGTCATTTTAAAGCAGTCCAGTAGAAGCCATTTTAAAGCACAACAGGCTGTATCTTAACAGAACACCCCCCCCCTCCTGAGGGGTGTTAGTGGTGTCTTACCCCCACAGTATTTTTTTCCAGAGAGTAAGTCATCTGTGTCTCAAGGTTGGTTGAAATTGCTCAAGGCGTTTCAGAATTATGCTGGAACATACATACATACATACACACACACACAGCCATTTATATATATATGTAGCTCAAATCTTTTTGAGCTTTGGGTTCACACGGGGCTATGGCATAGTCTTGTGTTTCTCTGAATTTAGTGATTCATGGATGCCCGCCATAAAGTTTTTCCAGGGCTTATCCCATCTCATCTGGATTAGCAATTCAATGACCATAGAAAGTTGGTCTTCGTGCTGTAGTCTGCAGTTTTGATCAGAAATGATAACCTGGTATATACCTTGAAGAAACTAATAGGAAACAGAGTTTGGACCACAGAGTAATTCTTCATTACGTCTCTGCCCACTTTTCCCCTAGGTTGAATCAAATCTGCAGTAAAAACAAATGATCACCATTTAGCAATAGTTAAAACAAATTATTTGCTGCTACAACTGTCTTGCTTGTAGAGTATTCAGTGTGTAAATTACCATATTTTTTCGGACTATAAGATGCAACAAGATTTTGAAGAGGAAAACAAGAAAAAAAAATAGAGTTTACCCTCCCCGGCCCCCAGGAATACTCTGCAGGCCTCCCAAATCCTCTGCGCATCCTGTTTTGGTGAAAAACAGGCCCACTTTTGGCCTCCCAAAGCCCCCACGTGTTGTGTTTTTGCCCTCCCCAGCCCCCAGGAGGACTCTGGAGGCCTTCCAAACCCTCTGCACATCCCATTTTTGTGGAAAATGGGCATGTTTTCGGCAAAAACGGGACACCCGGGGTGGGGTTTTGGGAGGCCAAAAATGACTGTATTCGGTGTATAAGACGCACCAACATTTCCACCCTCTTTTAGGGGGGGAGGGAAAGTGCGTTTTATACTCCGAAAAGTACGGTGTACTTTCTATTCAGAGAAGAATCTCTGACATCTTGTGAGTACTGCCTCCAAAATTTTGCAAATTGATGTCTGGTTTGAAAGGACAACAATTGTCCTTACGTTGTTTGTATAAATGTGGTGAGGAACCCTTTCTCAACTTGGGCATACTGCATTTCTGGACCTGCGAGAGTCCGACAAGTTAGTAACTTCAGTGTTGAGGTTCATTATCTGAGCTTGTTGAGTTAGTTTCCAGGCTACATAACATCTTCAGTGGAGTTTAGGAGAAATAATTGTCAGTGTTCTTTTCAGGGGTGGAATTCAGCCAGTTCAGACCGGTTCGGGAAAACCGGATGCTAATGTTACATCTGGTTCCCCATTGCAAGTACTGGCTGGCCCCACCCACCCCACCCTACCCCTCCCAGGAGTCTCCATGCAGCCCGTTTTGGATGCCACGTAAATGTAGGGCCCGCGCAGAGCCTGGGGAGGGCAAAAAACGGGCCTACCAGAAGTATTGGAAGTCTAGAAATGGGCCCATTTCCGGCCTCTGGAGAGCCTCCGGAGCCCGGGGAGGCCATTTTCACCCTCCCAGAGGCTCAAGGAAAGCGTCTGGAGCCTGGGGAGGGTGAAAACACTCCCCAACCATGGTGCAGCAGGCAGAGTAGGCCATACCCCAATGGCCACGCCCACCCAGCAACTGGGCAGAGAACTGGTTGCTAAAATTTTTCAATCCCACCCCTGATTCTTTTGCTTCGTATGGTCAGTAGGTCTTGTGATAGGAAGGTCAGCTTAGGTGAGGGTCATTGCGGGATGAAGTGCTGGTTGGAGGGGTTGCGTGGGTTAGTTGAGGGTTGAGGTGCCATCGCTGGTTGGTTGTGGGGTTGATTTGAATTCTGAGGGGTTCATAGGCTGGTTGTAGGTCAATGTGTCAGTTGATGGAGTTGCTTGTGGAGTGCCAGGCTTTGATAAACTCACGAGTGTGGCGGGAGGCAGTGTGGCCGGTGATTCTTGTATTGCTCCATTCAAACTAGTGTTGTTTGGTGTCGGTGTGGGTAGAGATTAAGGATTTGAGATCGTGGTGATTGACCTCCAGCCGGCACTCATGGATTGTGGTTTTCCAATCGATGAGATGTTTGTCCCACGTAAAATCGGTTGCGATGCTTACAATTTTGATTTTGCAAATCACCTTGTTTCTTTCATCCTTCTGTATCAGGGGTGAAATCTACTTACCTTCCTTACCGGTTCAGAAGTGTGCACTCCACGCGCGAGCATCACGTGTGATTTTGGACCCTCTGCACATGTGCAAAACCTTCTGTGCATGTACAGAGGGTCAAAAACAGGTTACTTCCTGAAGTAATGACATCCGGGTGGGTGGGTGGAGCCTACCGGTTCTCCGAACCACGTCTACCGCTGGTATCAGTTCGCCTGAATTGGTGCGAACTGGTAGCATTTCACCCCTGTTCTGTATCTTGTCTTTGGTTCTGGATAATTCCTGGCGGAGTGTGGCTGTGGGTTTTGTGGGCTATTTGTTATTCCTAGAATTCCTAGAGGTTGCAGAATTTGTAGCTTCCGTTCTCCTTCACAGTCTCCAGAAGCAAAAGTCCACTGATTCAACAGAGGCTTGCATCATCCTTCAGAACAATACAGCGGTTGAGGTCACAGAATGCCATCATGGGAATGTTCCATCTTGAATAGGTCTCCATGGCCCAAATGGATCTGCTCTGAATTCCTTCCAAGAATGCAGGATTTGTGGAATGAGTCTTCCGGTCTTCCGTACCCCAAATTCTTCTTTGCTTAGCTACGGATTTGGGAGTGGATTCGTTTTTTAAAATAGCTTCCACTTTCTTTTTCCTATGTTGATTTATAAAATGTCTCAAATAACGTGAAGCCTCTCAGGCTTCTGGGGCATAAGACTTGTGGCTTGCAGGGATTGGACAATCTCTAGTCATGTTCATCACCAACATGATCCAGACATGATCATCAACATGATCACCAATCATTCCAAATGATTGTCTGTAAAAAACAATCCACCCAGCAGGAGCTGCAGAAGGACAGGCCTTGCCCTCCGGAGCAAGTTGGAAGCTCTAGGGATCTTGGAAGGTAATGTCTGAGAGAGACAGACGCTTAAGAAATAGGAAAGATAAACGATATAAATGTGTGTGAGAGAGAGGGAGAGATGATAGATAAGATAGATGATAGATAGATAGATAGATAGATAGATAGATAGATAGATAGAAAGATAGAAAGATAGATAGATAGATATAGATTATATAGATTGATACATGATATAGATAGATAGATAGATAGATAGATAGATAGATAGATAGATAGATAGATATAGATTATATAGATTGATACATGAGATAGATAGATAGATAGATAGATAGATAGATAGATAGATAGATAGATATGATAGATAAAATATAGGTAGATAGATGATAGATAGATAACAGATACTATAGATGATAGATAGATAGATAGATAGATAGATAGATAGATAGATAGATAGATGGATAGATTTATTTAATATAATTTGTATGCTGCCCTATCTCCGTAGGGCTCAGGGTGGCTCACAACAAATAAAAACAAACCCAATAGAACATAAAATACATAAATGTATAAGTATATAATTTAAACATGTATTAAACCCATTAAAATAATCAAAAATTGATAGATAGATAGATAGATAGATAGATAGATAGATAGATAGATAGATATGATAGATAAAATATAGGTAGATAGATGATATAGATTAAATATATAGATAGATAGATACTGTAGATGATAGATAGATAGATAGATAGATAGATAGATAGATAGATAGATAGATAGATAGATAGATATGTGGGAAAATGTTTTCCAAATGATGCAATAATCATAGTTAAAGGTAAAAGGTAAAGGTTACCCTCGCACATATGTGGTAGTCGTTCCCGACTCTAGGGGGCGGTGCTCATCTCCGTTTCAAAGCCGAAGAGCCAGCGCTGTCCGAAGACATCTCCGTGGTCATGTGGCCGGCATGACTCAACGCCAAAGGCGCACGGAACGCTGTTCCCTTCCCACCAAAGGTGGTCCCTATTTTTCTACTTGCATTTTCTTTTACGTGCTTTCGAACTGTTAGGTTGGCAGAAGTTGGGACAAATCACGGGAGCTCACCCCATTACACAGCACTAGGGATTCGAGCCGCTGAAATGCCGACCTTTCGATCGACAAGCTCAGCCACTGAGCCACCGTGTCCCTTAACCATAGTTAAAGTGTTCCTGGATTTTCTTAGTAGTTGACTTTTTTCAAGTAGTCTGTCAGAGGCCACCTCAATACCCTTCTACTGCTCTTCGAGAACTTCTTTTGGTGCCAGTCTGCCATGAACGCTGGGGGCCAGATGGGAGGGGATTATATATTTCGGAGGAGTGAAAGTTCCCCTTTCCTTTCCCAGTGCCATCTCAAGGCCAATTCCTTGGGAAGGGAGCATAGCTGCATTCCACAGGAGACCAGTTCTAGAAACATCTTTTTAAAATTTGTTTGGATATGAGGAGACCAACTCTGAAAGGCACCTTGGGGGAGGTGGGGGAAGAAAGTTACATTGGGGATTTTGGCGTGCAAATTTCAGTTCTGGCTTTGCTCTACTGCAGAGGTCTCCAACCTTGGCAACTCTACAACTTGTGGACTTCAACTCCCAGAATTCCTCAGCCAGCCATGCTGGCTGAGGAATTCTGGGAATTGAAATCCACACATCATAAAGTTGCCAAGGTTGTAGACCTCTGCTCTAATGGTATTTCACTTGGCTTCTTCTCAACCTGAGGCTGTTAAGGATGGTTCTTACTTAGAGGTTCAAGCTGAGGCAGGTCTGACATAATCTTCTTAGTTAACCTCCATCTGATTCCTGCCTCCTTTGTTGAGCATGGGTCACATACAAAATATTTGTCCCATTTCCAAGACAAGGAAATTAAATCTTTTTAAAAACGTGTGCGTCCCTATGGTGTAAAAATAAGCTTGTGCTTGGATTACTTCCTCCTTTCTGCCCAGATTCTGATGGGCGATTGATGGATTCATTGATGTATGCCAAGCTGAGCTTCCAAACTGCAACCTTTCAGGTTCCAAAAGGGGTGTTTTATTTACACACCGAAATCTCCAGAGCAGGTTGATGGCCAAATGTCCTTTTCATCCTTTTTGAAAGGGACTAAAGACTTTCAGCTAGACAATAATTTAGTTTCAGGTTCGCTGAGCACTTATCCGTTGTGCCATCCAGGAGCAATCTGTGGAAATCATTTAACTGATAACTTCCTTTATTTCAAGCAATAAAATCTATTTTACAGCCCTTAGTGTGCTTTTCCTAGAAGAAGCCAGAATAACCTCTAAATAATTCCTTGTTTTGTTCTTCCTGGGTTCCTTCTTGCGACTACCGCATTTTCCTCCTTTTTTTCGATTTGGATCACATTGTAGGAAAGTGGCTACCTCTTATTAATGTAACACAGTGGCCCCCAACTTTGGAGTGCCAGGGACCCCCTTCTGTGGAGGATGGTTTTTCTGCAGACTGGGGGGGGGGGGCGGGAGAGCGTGGCATCATGCACTTCCTGGATGCCACGCGGGTGCCACAGCCTGGCTACTGGTGGGCCGTGGACCAGTGATGAGTTGCTACTGGTTCGCCCCGGATCGGGCAAACTGGTAACTGTGGCAGCAGAAGGTTCCACCCACTCGCCCGGACATGTGAGAGCCTGCCCACGCACATGAGCGAACCGGTAGCAAACTAAATTGAAACCCACTACTGCCACGGACCCATTCCCATCTGTAGCCTGGGGGATTGGGACCCCTCATATAGCATGAAAAGTCTGTCGACGTCACAGATGCAGAAGATGGTAACCAAAAAATGAACTCCTAGTAGGGAATTCAATGGCGGAGAGTCTGAACTTCACCAATTTATGTTGTTTTCACCTAAGAGAAAAATAACGGTGTTCCCCACCCTGTATCTACTCCAGTAGTAAGTTTCACTTACCTTTGCTACTGGTTCAGAACTGTGAGTGTGTGTGTGCACGCTTATTTCACTTGCGCCCTCCCACCGCTGCTGCTACCAGTTTTCCCGAACCGGGGTGAACTGGTAGAGACCCACCACTGATTTACTCCATTTTGAGAAAATCTCTACATGCCCAGTCGTGGCAATCAGAAAAAAAAATATTTATTCAGTTTAACAAATGATATATTAACGCGGTCATGAGTTGACTGTCTGCCCTTTTGGACGGGAGAAATATATAAAAAAGGGAGCACAGGATGATCTTGTGTAAACAGAACCAAACAAAGGCGAAGGAGGAAAGTTTTCTGTTTTTGTTTTAGTCATGAATCACTGCCAATTTTTTCTGACCATTTGTTATTTTGAGCTGACAAAGACGAGGACCTGGCCTAACATGTCCCAAATTAGAGCAGCTGACTCGCTTGATTTTTTTGAGGAGGTATCGTCAAATAAATCTGAAGAGCAAAAGGCATACATTCAGCACCAGAAGGGCTATTCTTGAGGACTAGCGTACTTCATGGAATTCGTTCAACTTGGGTCATTTAGAAAGGCCAAGGCTGTGAAAAATAAACTTTAACAGGAAATGTTGTATGCCCTAGTTAGTATCACGGTGTAGCAGGTTCCAACTTACACCGGGAAGAAGACAAAGCTATAAAAAGTAATTGGATTCATGTAGGCTGAGATTAAAGCTTGGGTGTGTGCGTTACGATGGACTCGGAGATTGCCAAGGACAGAGAAAGTGAGCACATGTTTTCGGAACATGGGAGCAACATGGAAGTCAGACTGAAACAGAAGTTTCTGGGTCAATGTTCTGGACAGAGATAAGAAAGTGTTATCCTGATATCCACGTGCTATAAATGTTTGTTAAAATTAAAAAAAAGAATTGTGTAACAGGTTGTCCTTCGCTTATAACCATTTGTTACTCACCGTTCAAAACTACAACAGCACTGGGGGAAAAAGTGACATGATTGATTTTCCTATTTGCAACTGTTTATTTTTATTTATTTTATTTATTTATTTCTCAAACATGTACAAGATAGCAGGTATGCAATATGAACATGGACATGAATGAAAGAAATCAGTACAAATCAATGGGGACAGTAGGACAGGGATGTAAGCAGTGGTGGGATTGAGCTGGTTCGCACCACTTCGGGAGAACCGGTTGTTAACTTTCTGAGCAGTTTGGCAAACTGGTAGTTGGAAGAAATCATTAGGGCAGAGAACCGGTCGTTAAATTACTTGAATCCCACCACTGGACGTAAGGCACGCTGGTGCGTTTATTCACGCACCCTTTACGGACCTCTTAGGAATGGGGTGAGGTGCACGGTAGACAGTTTGAGGTTGAAGCTGTGAGGGTTTGAGGATGTAACAACGGAGGATGTAACAATGGAGTGCATTCCAGGCGTTGACCTCTCTGTTGCTGAAGTCGTATTTTCTGCAATCGAGTTTGGAGTGGTTTACCTTGAGTTTGTTTCGATTGTTTGCCCGTGTATTATTGCGGTTGAAGTTGAAGAAGTCGTTGACAGGTAAGAGGTTGTAGCAGACAATTTTGTGTACTACGCTTA